CTCTCTCTCTCTCTCTCTCTCTCTCTCTCTCTCTCTCTCTTTCTCTCTCTCTCTCTCTCTCTCTCTCTCTCTCTATCTCTCTCTCTCTCTCTCTCTCTCTCTCTCTCTCTCTCTCTCTCTCTCTCTCTCCTCTCTCTCTCTCTCTCTCTCTCTCCCTCTCTCTCTCTCTCTCTCTCTCTCTCTTTCTCTCTCTCTCTCTCTCTCTCTCTCTCTCTCTCTCTCTCTCTCTCTCTCTCTCTCTCTCTCTCTCGTTCACTCTTTGCAGTTGCTCTTTCTTTTCCTGGTCTCGTGACATGCCCTTTGGCCCGTGGCCAATACGAGGCGGCCCATGCCGGCGAGTGGTGGGGTCGTTTGCTCGGGTTCGTGCGGGTGCTTGCCATTTCGTCGTTCTCTGATTTTTTTTTTTTTTCTTTGCCATCCAAAGCCAAGATCAGAAAGTACTTCTTTAAAAATAAGCCCTCATAAGAAACGGGCTACACATAACCATGCTTCCTAGCATGCATCCGCCCCACACCGCATGGGCCAATTTATGGGACCAAGGGCTTACTAATCCCTCTCCTACCTCCTAGGCCTATAGCCTAATCATCACCCCTAACTAGGGCTTGGCAAATGGCCATCGCAAACCCCTTTGGGTTGCCCACGGTCAACGCACTTAACGTGCACTGTGCCACGCGCGCTAAGGCGCAAACACACAAGGACCATCCCTACACCACGGGTGCGGGTCCTTGGCCACCATTGCCATTCCGCGGAAAGCCACAGCGGAAGCACGTCCCACGGAAGCCGTGGAAGTTCCCCATAGGCGGGCCACGCTTGGAGTTGAACGCCATCGGCCCGCGTCCTACGCCGCGGTGGGATCGAGCGTGTGTACCCTCCGCGCGATCCATTGCTGCCACATCGGCGACGGCTTGCTTGAAGGGGCGGGAGGTAAGGAGGCTCTTCTGCTGGTACATCTTGAATCGCTTGGCGACGCGATCGTCGGTGGCCTCCTCGACTTGAAGCATTTCGTAGCGCTCCGAAATGTAGTCGAGGGCGCTCGCGACCATTTCAAGTCCGCCCGTCGCATCGCCGCGCTGCAGTTTGTACTCCGCGTGCTTCAGGTAGGCCCTCATGTCCTCCAGGGGCTCCACTTTCGCTCGCACGATCGGATCGATGAAGTTTGCCGCCGAAAAAGTGGGGTTAGTGGAAGGGGGGGGGGGGGGGGGGGGATCTTCCATAGAGGCAAAATTTGCTGCGTTGTTCGGAGCCTCACCGGCGTCGTCGTCTGAGTCGTCGGAGTCGTTGTTGACCGCTGCAGCTTTAGGAGCACTGGTAACCGCCTCCTTGTCGTTGCGGCGCGTTGATGGTCCTTTTGCTTCTTTCGCCTTTTTTGCAATGTCGTTTTTAGCCGATGCGGATGCTGCTGGTTGTGTAGTTTCGGCGGCGATCGCGCTAGCAGGGTGCTGCTGTAACAGGTACAAGAGGGCCTTGACTTGGTCCGGGGTCAACGCCTCGGTCAAGGCTTGGTCAGCCGTCGCGTCAGACGAGGCGGCCGTATGATGCCTCTGGCGCTGACGCGACGGCCGGCTGGAGGCGTGTGCCACTGGCGCGTGCTCGGCGTCCGTGGCGTGTGTCGCCACGTTCGCCACTGGCGCCACAGGCGCCACTGGCGCCACAGGTGCCACTGGCACCACAGGCGCCGAAGGGTGCTAGGGGTGCTGCTCGGCGCTTTTGTTGACTTTGAGCCCGCCCAGCAGCAAGTCCACGGCGGTCTGGGCGGACGTTTCGCCGTCTGCCCGGCGCTTGTTGCGACGCTCGCCCGTCGTTTCACGGGCGTTACGGTCGTTGTCGGAGATTATCGGGTCGTTGGTGACGACGTTGTTAGCACGGTTAAGTGTCGGCGTCGCAGCCATAGTTGCGCGGTTTTGGTTAAGAATGTCGTAATAGCCCCCCCCAAAATTATAGCCCCCCGGGTCGTTAAATGGGGGCGGGTCTAATGCTATCTCCACTTTCGTAATAAACCCCCTTTTTTGTAACGAAGCCGCTTTAGACCCCCCTTCTTGTAGCCGCTTTAGTATCGAACTGAGCTGTAGGAAGGCCGAAGTCAAGGAATTCCAAGATTCCAGCTGACATCAGCCTTTCGACCACGCGTTGGTCTTGCGCCAGCGCGTGGTCGAAATTTGCCCCTGACGCGATCCTCGAAAAGAGCAGTCGCGATGTATAAACGCCTAGTTTAGAAAGTAAGATGACACATAAGATTAACCCCCGGGTCTACCGTATTCTCCCGGACATAACACCCTAGGGTAGATCTAAAAATACAGGAAAAAAAAGGGGGGTGTCTTCTCATAGGAAAAAGCTACATAATACCCGGGTGCATATATATGGTATATTTTAGTGTTAGAGTTTTTTTATTAGACAAGTTGAGTGTTTCCATGGGCTTTTTAACATCACATGTTGAGGCGCGAATGTGAGTTTCGACGCGAACGTCATCACCCCCTCGAAAATGTCATTTGGCACCTCTCTGGCCACCTGCAGCGGAAGATTCGCCAGCAGTGGCGACAGCGAAATAGTGGGCGGGGGGGAATCTCGGCAGATTTGATGTGAAAGAACCGGGAAATTTCATCGAGCGAGAGATTTTCGCGATATACTCCCGTACTTGCACGTACTCGTTAACAGCTATAATATAGAGTCTGTAAGAAAAGGGGGGTGTTATAAAAAATCATCCAAAAAGGGGGGTATAGTGAAATCGAGGTCGCCCATAGCACCCACCCCGCACAAGCTACCCGGGGGTGCTCTATCATGGGGGGGTGTTTTGTCCGGGAGAATACGGTAATAAATTTACACCCAGATAATAAATACACCCCTATTTTTTACCCGGGGTAGGATTAAACCCGGGGGTGTATTAGTCGGGTAAATACGGTAGAAGTGAGCTCGAGAAACTAGAGTTGTATGAGCCGTTGGAATAATGAGAGACGTGGGTGGAGGGAAATGAGCTCCAACCCACGATTTGTAGTTGGAGAAGGGCGTTTAGCGCGCTTCGACGATGCCAAAACATGCGTTACAAGCAGCTGCGCTTTCGAAATACGTAATTTTAAAAAACACTTCGTGTGTTTAAAATTATAATATTGTGTAGGCTGTAGGGGTACAACCCAATTAGGGTTAGACCTTGTTCTAAGGCACACATTTTCGTTTAGTATTCTGACAGTAACCACGTTGTGGGACCATTAGGAGAAGGTACTTAGCGTGATTGCGTGGTGACATGCCTTTGACGGTCGTTGAGTTCATTTCGCGTATTTCTTTAGAATGCTAAAAACGGAGCACATACTGATCACGCGTCTGGCTTCCAAACCACAAGAAATATTTATGACCTTATGATAAGACCCGGGTCTTGTAAAATGTAGCCAACTGTTAAGAGCCAGGACCCGGTCTTAAAGCCAGACGGGTCGTTTTACTAAAGTTAGCCCTGATTATGGTACTTGGAGAATCCGGGGAATACGGTACCGTAAAACACAACCTGTGTTGGAAACAATAAGTCGCTAGAGCGCAGCGGAAGCTCTAGGAAGATAACGACGTCCCTACGGCGGGGCAATGGTCACTCAGAGGTAGCTCTCCTGGCTTGTAACTTGGTGCCAAAGCGGCGGCCGAGGGTAGGCCGGACACCAGCTTGGGAATTGTGAAATACGGTAAGAGACATGCAATACATTCAGTTATATAGGAAACACACGAGGCAGGCAGTTACCAAGGCGCAACTGCTGTTGTAACGATCAGTTGCCCTGTTACAGTCGCGCTGGCGCGACTGTTCAGCTTCGGCAAGGGCGCGGTATTCAGTTGTGCCCTGCAGGACGGTTTGACGTACTGTAGATGCTGCCTCCTGCTGTCGATTCGACTCTTGAACTGCCACGCGGGTCGCAACCGCTGTGCTCGGTTGCGCCCCGTTGACTCGCCACCAGGTTCAAATCCCTCGCTATGGCGAGCCCCTGTAAGCACACTTCGAACAGTGCACTTATAATAAAAGCGTACAAACATATTCTCAACACTCCCCTCCACTGTTAGAAGTGTAGAAACGAGGAGAGCTGCAGTTCTGCCGGGTTGAAGTTGTGAAGTCATTGCCAGGGAATTTGCCGGAACGCCTTGGAAGGCGTCTCGCCGAGTCACTCGAAATGTTGCGTCGGCGGCACGTTGAAGAATTCCTCCACGTAATGATCCGTGGGAAGTGGCAGGTCGAACCTGCTCCAGGAGATGCTCCTGAAGATGATTCAGGTGGTGGGCCCATTTGTAGAAATTACCACAGGTTCCAACAATTGGAACTCTTGCTCTGATACCATGTTGGAAACAATAAGTCGCTAGAGCGCAGCGGAAGCTCTAGGAAGATAACGACGTCCCTACGGCGGGGCAATGGTCACTCAGAGGTAGCTCTCCTAGCTTGTAACTTGGTGCCAAAGCGGCGGCCGAGGGTAGGCCGGACACAAGCTTGGGAATTGTGTAATAAGAGACATGCAATACATTCAGTTATATAGGAAACACACGAGGCAGGCAGTTACCAAGGCGCAACTGCTGTAACGATCAGTTGCCCTGTTACAGTCGCGCTGGCGCGACTGTTCAGCTTCGGCAAGGGCGCGGTATTCAGTTGCGCCCTGCAGGACGGTTTGACGTACTGTAGATGCTGCCTCCTGCTGTCGATCCGACTCTTGAACTGCCACGCGGGTCGCAACCGCTGTGCTCGGTTGCGCCCCGTTGACTCGCCACCAGGTTCAAATCCCTCGCTATGGCGAGCCCCTGTAAGCACACTTCGAACAGTGCACTTATAATAAAAGCGTACAAACATATTCTCAACAACCTGAACATACGTGGCAAGGAAAGCACCCCCGGGCTGAGTCTTTTCATCCTAGACGTTCCTACTGCCAAGGGGTGTCTATCCAAAAAATGGCAGTGCGGCCTTAGTCTTTCACTCTTATACGGTAATACTGGATGGCCTCCCGCACCCCTAGGGGGTTTTGCTCTCGTGCCCCATCCAACACAACACGTCATTGCTTGAGTCTCTTCAGGCCCTCCGCCTTGCCTGTCCCGGCCTTGCCTGTGCCCGGCCCTGCCTTGCCTGTCCCGGGCCCTGTCTTGTGTGCACCGTGCCCCATCTTGCGTTTGAGACTCTTCACAACCACATTTAGCTCCGCTCTTCTACTAGTCCCACCCTTCCCCTCCACCTCTTCCCCAGCTCCCCGCCCTCTTCCCAGCCCCCGTCCATCCGCCTCTCCATTGCTCGCAGCACCCTTGCTACTGCTGCCACCACCCGCTGCTTCCCCGCCCACTGCTGCACTTGGCACGCGGCGGCGCTGCTTCTCGGCTATCAGGCGCTGCGGGGCTGACGACCTGGTGGTTGGGGGGAGGGGGCGCACGGCCAGGGCCGTGAGGGGCACGCGCCATGACATGACACACAATGGTGCCATGAGGGGTAGGCACCATGAGTGGCAGGCGCCATGAGTGGCAGACAGGCAATGGGATGGGGGGAATGGGATGGCATGGAGTGGCAGGGAGGCAATGGGATGGCATGGAGTGGCAGGGAGGCAATGGGATGGCATGGAGTGGCAGGGAGGCAATGGGATGGCATGGAGTGGCAGGGAGGCAATGGGATGGCATGGAGTGGCAGGGAGGCAATGGGATGGCATGGAGTGGCAGGGATGGAATGAGATGGCAGTGCTGGGGTGGGAGGGAGGGCTCACCTGTGGAAGCGGGGCTCACCTGTGGAAGCGGGGCTCACCTGTGGAAGCGGGGCTCACCTGTGGAAGCGGGGCTCACCTGTGGAAGCGGGGCTCACCTGTGGAAGCGGGGCTCACCTGTGGAAGCGGGGCTCACCTGTGGAAGCGGGGCTCACCTGTGGAAGCGGGGCTCACCTGTGGAAGCGGGGCTCACCTGTGGAAGCGGGGCTCACCTGTGGAAGCGGGGCTCACCTGTGGAAGCGGGGCTCACCTGTGGAAGCGGGGCTCACCTGTGGAAGCGGGGGTCACCTGTGGAAGCGGGGCTCACCTGTGGAAGCGGGGGTCGGTGGGGTCGATGGCGAAGTGCGGAGACGTGAAGAGCGCAGCGAAGCGCGGGTCATTCACGTCCACGTCCACACCCCGCCCCGCCTCCGCCCCCACCTGCTCCACACTCCTCCCCTCCCTTCCGCCCCTCCCCAACTTGCCCCCACCACCCACCGACCGCGCTCTTCCTCCCTCCCCGTCAGCCTCCTCCTCCCCCGCTGCGCCATGCGCCCCCCTCGCCCCTCTGCCCTGTGCCCCGCGCTGCTCCCTGGCCTTGCGTGCATCCGCCTTGAGGTTGAACCCTTCACCCCACCGCCCTCGCCCCCCTCCATCAGCAGCAGCTCCAGCTCCGCCCGCCGCCTCTCCTCCTCTGCCCTCTCCCGCTCCCGCTCTGCCCTCTTCCTCTCCCGCTCCTCTGCCTTCCTCTCATACTCGCTCTTCCCTGCCTTCACTCCCTTCACCCCTCCGGCCCCGCCTTTGCCACTTGTGGTCGTGCCAGCAGCAGCATGACCGGCATCAGTGGAGGCAAAGAAGGGGTCGGCAAAGGGGTCCTCATCGCCAGGGAGAGCAAAGAACGGGTCGGCCTCCTGCTGCACACGCCTGCTGTCGTACAAGTCGTCGTCGCTTCCTCCCTCCTCCGCACTCCCCCCTGCGCCCCGTCCTGCCGCCTTGCTCGCCTCGGCCAGTCGGCGGCGCTCCTTGCGGCGCTCCCTGCGCTGCCGCTGGTACGCCTCAAACACCGTCTCGCTGCCGCTGCGCTGCTGCTCGCTGCGCCGCCGTGCCAGCTTGTCGCCCAGCGCCGCCAGCCCCGTGGTGAACGTCACCTCCATGTCGCCCTCCATGCCTGACGACCCCGACGACCCCCCTTCCCACTCCTCCCCCTCTGCCTCTTCCGTCCCTCCCTTCCCCTTCTTCCTCCCTTGCCCTCGCCATCCCCCGCCAGTCCTTTCAACAGCATCCTCAGCTTCTCTCTTGTCCCTCTGCCCTTCTTTTTCCCCTCCTCCTTCCTGCCACCGTTCTCTGCTGTCTGCTCCCCGTCCTCTCCCTCCTCTGCCCCCTCCTCACCCGAGGACGAGGCGAGGTAGTCTCGAAAGTCCAGCTCCGCCACCTGCAGGGCGGGCGCAGGGGGACACGGACACGCCCACCGTGCAGGTGAAGAGGAGATGTGTGGGAACGGTTGGAGCAACACAGCAACGGAGAACGGACGCATGCCACGCACCTGCTGCCATGGCATGCCACGCACCTGCTGCCATGGCATGCCACGCACCTGCTGCCATGGCATGGCACGCACTTGCTGCCATGGCATGGCACGCACTTGCTGCCATGGCATGGCACGCACTTGCTGCCATGGCATGGCACGCACTTGCTGCCATGGCATGGCACGCAGTTGCTGCCATGGCATGGCATGCACTTGCTGCCATGGCATGGCACGCACCTGCTGGCATGGCATGGCACGCACCTGCTGGCATGGCATGGCACGCACCTGCTGGCATGGCATGGCACGCACCTGCTGGCATGGCATGGCACGCACCTGCTGGCATGGCATGGCACGCACCTGGTGGGCGCTCACCTGGTCGGCGGCGAACTTGCGGCGCAGCGCTCGCACGCGGGTGGGGTCGTCCTCATCCCACGTGAGCTTCACGGTGCTGTGCTGCAGCACGCGCGTTGTGAACACCGGTGCCTCGTAGTCCCCCGGCACCTGCACAGGTGAGTGTGTGTAAGAAGCGAGAGGTAGAGGGTAGAGGGAGTGCAGGGTGAAGAAGAGCACCCTGGTCTCCGGTAATTCACCTCGATGCAAGCATTGGCTGGGACAGTTCACTTGTGCAGACCCACGGATGCAGTGTGTGACACGGCAGCTTCTGGTGTTGGACCAGCACGACTCCATGCATGAGTGGAGCGCCATAGCTGTGAGAGTGTTTTCCGGTTGCACCACATGTAGGGGTCACAATGCACCACATGTAGGGGTCACAATGCACCACAAAAAGGGGTCACATTGCACCACATGTAGGGGTCACATTGCACCACATGTAGGGGTCACAATGCACCACATGTAGGGGTCACATTGCACCACATGTAGGGGTCACAGTGCACCACATGTAGGGGTCACATTGCACCACATGTAGGGGTCACATTGCACCACATGTAGGGGTCACATTGCACCACATGTATGTGAGAAAGAAGAATTGATACACTGAATAATGAGCCAAAAGGCTCTTTAGTACAAGCAATGAGCAAGAGAGAGATGAGAGGGAAGCTTACCCTATTGGCCAATAAGTTGGCCAATGGGTGAGTTTGCTTGTGGCCCAAGCAACCACAAAATGTGTGTTGGTTGGGATTGGTTGAGGTAAGGACCAATCCCCACCAACCACAAAATGTGGTTGGAGGGTACACTAACCAACCCCCCAATTTATAAGACTGCTACACATCTAAGTCTAGCCTATGCATGTTGTATAAAATATGGAATTACAACACAACCCCCCAACATGCATAAGGCTAGAAGGCTATAATCAAGAAGTGGAGACCAACTTTGGAGGAGTAAGGCCAAGGAGACGAATCAGTGAAGAGTGAGCCGCATGCGGAAGAGCTTTCGTGAAGATGTCGGCAAGGTTGGCTGCGGAGTCAACCTTATCGAGCCGAAGGTGCCCAGCCTGAACAAGATCGCGAATGAAGAAATGACGGAGCTCAATGTGCTTGGAGCGCCCGTGAAACACAGCATCCTTCGTGAGGTGAATGGTGCTGGCGTTGTCACACCAAATGGTGGGACAGCGCTGGGGGGCACCAAGCTCCTCAAGAAGGAAGGAGAGCCAGCGAGCCTCTTGTGCAGCCATGGTGGCGGCATACAACTCGGCTTCGCAGGACGAGAGGGCGATAGCCGAGGAGCGCGTGGAACGCCAGCTGATGAGGCCGCTGCCAAGAGAGAAGCCATAGCCCTGAGAGGAGCGACGATCTGGTCGGGAATCAGCCCAGGAGGAGTCACTGTAGCCGCTGAGGAGAGGTGGGGAAGGGCCGCCAAGGGTAAGGACATAGTCCTTGGTGCCACGAAGGTATTGGAGGACGCGCTTGGCAGCCTGCCAGTGCTCGTCCGTATGCTTGCCAGCGCCAACAAACCGAGCGAGGACGCTGATGGGGTAGGCAAGGTCAGGGCGAGTGGAGACCATGGCGTACATGAGGGAGCCAATGAGCTCGGGATAAGGATGGGAGGAGGCTGAGGGGGAGGTGGGTGGAGAGAGGTGGTGCCCGACAGAAAGAGGTGTAGGTTGGGCGCCGCCGCGGGCCATGTCAAACCGCTCCAAGACCTGCTGCAAGTAATGACCCTGGGAGAGTGAGATGGTGCGGGCGGAGCGGTCGCGGGTGATGGTCATGCCCAGGTAATGCTGTAGCTCTCCCAAGTCTTTGCACTTGAGACGGCTACCCAACTCAGCCTTAACATGCTCCAACTCTCCAAGGTCGGCAGTGAGCAGAATCATGTCATCGACATACACAAGGATGTAAAAAGAAGAGGGGGAGGTGCGGAGGAAGAGGCTGGCGTCAGAGCGGGAGGTGCGGAACCCAAGTTCAGCAAGGGTGGCGGCAAGTTTAGCATGCCACTCCCTCGGGGCCTGTCGGAGCCCATACACAGGTCGACGCAGCTGCCAGACAGAGTCTGCTGGGAAGGGGAGGTGAAAACCGGCTGGACGCTCCATGTAGATAAGCTCGCGGAGGACGCCTTGCAGGAAGGCGTTAGAAACGTCCATCGAGTGGATCTCCATATTGAGGCGAGCGGCGAGGTCGAGCACGGCGCGAACAGTAGCAGGCTTGGCAGTGGGGGAGAAGGTATCGAAGAAGTCAAAACCATACCGCTGCGTGAACCCCTTGGCGCAGTAACGAGCCTTATAGACGGGCGGCTCCCCTGGTAGCTGCTTGACGCGAAACACCCACTTTCCTTTCACCACGTTCGTAGGGGCGGGAGGGCGAGGCACATCAACAAAAGAGGAGTTGCCGATAAAGGCCTCCAGCTCCTTGATGATGGCGGCGAGCCATAGTGGAGCGTCAGGGCACGCCATCGCCTCCTCGTACATGGTAGGAACGAAAATGGAGGGAGCAGAGGAGAAGGCGAAGACAGGTGTGCCGGAAAGGTCGAACGTGATGGGTAGAAGCGAGGGGTTATAAAGGTGGAGGTCAAGGAACTCCTCATGGGAGTCCTCAGACAGGGAGGTGTGGAAGGCGCAGATGACTGCTGGTGCCGCTGCTGGTGCCGCTGCTGGTGCCGCTGCTGGTGCTGCTGCTGGTGCCGCTGCTGGTGCCGCTGCTGCTCCCACTGCTGTTGCCGCTGCTGGTCCCGCTGCTGCTGCCACTGCTGCTCCTGCTGCTGCTACTGCTGCTGCTTCTCCCGCTGCTGCTGCCGCTGCTGGTCCCGCTGCTGCTGCCGCTGCTGGTGCCGCTGTTGGGGCCGCTGCTGGGGTCATTGCTTGTGCCGCTGCTGGAGCCGCTGCTGGTGCCGTTGCTGGAGAGGTGGCTGAGGGGGCTGTTGCATGAGGGGCTTGATGCAAAACAGCCTGGAAGAAGTGACGAAGGAGGGGGGAGAGAGGGGGGAGGGTAGAGGTAGAGAGGGTAACGGGAGGTGGTGCACCAAGGATGCTGTCACGTGACCTGGTGTGGGGATACCGGGTGAGTATAGTGCGGGGAGGGGAAGGACGGGTCGGTGGCGAGGGAGAGGAAGGGGGGGGAGGGGGGGCACTAGGAGAGGAGTGAGCGGGGGAGACAGGAGAAGACAAAGGGTCCGGGTCAAAGATGTCACCAGATGAGGGAGGGGTACCGTGGGACTGGGACGGCAGAGGGGGGGGGGGTGGGAGGATGGGGGGAGGAGGGAGTAGTGGGGGAGGGGTGGTGTCAGACCAGACAAGGGGACGGGTGAGAGGGGGGAGTGGGTCAGTAGATGGAGGGGAGGAGTAGTAGGGAGTGGACTCGTCAAAGACCACATCCCTGCTGCGGATTAGACGACCGGATGGGGGGTGGAGGAAAAGGTAGTCGGGGGAGGAGGGATTATGACCAAAGAAGATGCAAGGAAGGGTATGAGGGGCAAGCTTTCCCATGGAACGGGAGCGGTCAGAGGGGTGAATAAGGACATGTGCCTTAGAGCCCCAGACACGAAGTGATGAGGCATCAGGCTTGTCTTTTGTCCAAAGCTCAGTGGGGGTGATGGAGGGGAGAAGGGGGTGAGGGTAGAGGTTAGTAAGGAGGGCGGCATGAAGGAGGGCGTAGCCCCAAAGAGAAGGTGGGCAGGAGGCGTGGACAAGCAGACACCGGGCTGTTTTGGTGATCTCTCGAACACGACTCTCAGCCACACCGTTCTGCTGTGGGGAGTGAGGGAGGGTGTAAGTCTGAAGGATGCCACGAGACTGACAATAGGAGGAGACTTGGTTGTTAAGGAACTCACCACCTCCATCAGAGTGAAGGCGGCGAACAGGGCGCCCAAAATGGGTGTTTGCTCGCTCGAGCCAGGCGATGATCGCAGCCGGGGCATCCGCCTTTGTCCGAAGAAGAGAGACGGACGAGTACCGACTGTGATCATCAACAAGCACGAGAAGGTAGCGATGGCCCTGGCGAGTGGGAGAGGGATTAGGGCCCCATAGGTCCATGTGAACAAGATCAAGTGGCTGAGCAGCAGCGGAGGGGGAGCTCCGGTGCGGCTGCTGCTTGAGCTTGCTCTGAACGCAGACGGTGCAGGGGGGTGCAGGGGATTTGGGGAGGGGAGGGAGGGAGGAGGGGAGATTGTGGAGGAGACCGGAGGAGACAGATGAGCGCAGAGTGGCGAAGTTGGGGTGACCTAGCCTGTGATGGAGGAGGATGGTGGGGTGGGAGAGGGAGCGACAGGAACAGTCAGAGTCAGGAGGGCGGGGGGGGAGGGGTGGGTTAGTGGGAGGGGGGGGGGAGGGGGGGGGGGAGGAGGGGGGGGGAGGCAACTTGGAAGGTGAGGGGGCGGGGAACCCGAAGGGTGTATAGACGGGAGCGGGGACAATAGGGAATACGGGCGAGAAAACGACCTGTGGAGGTTTGGTATAGGTCACAATGGTTAGCACCACCTGGGATGAGAGTGGTGATCATGGCTTGTTGGAGGGACCTTTGGGAGAGGAGGTTAGTACGAAGGGAGGGAATGTGGAGTCCGGTGACAGTACCTGAGGGAAAGAGAGGACAGGGAAGGGTGGAGGTGTTGTGACAAGGGATGGAAAAACTGCTATCAGCGCCGAGGAGGGAGGTTGGTGTGGGGAGAGGGCGCAGTGTACCAGCGTCACGAAGGACAGTGTCAGTGGCTCCACTGTCCAGAACGAAGTCAATGGTGGAGGAAGGTGAGGCAGAGTACTGGAACGACGTTTCATTAGCAGAAGAAGGGTACATGGGAGATGCAACAGATTCAGGTTGACCTAATAAACCAACAAAACCAGAGGAAGGGAAAGCGGTCGCACTGCCACCTGCAGACGGCGCCGGGGATGCACCCGAGAGATGGGCTGCAGAGGCAGCACTCCCAGCAGCCCAGGTAGGAAAGGGCTGCTGCTGGGATACCGGAGGAGGAGGGAGGAGGGGCAGTTGCGGCTGGAGGTCTAGCTGCTGCTGGAGTTGCTGGAGCTGCTGCTGGAGCTGAGATAGGAGAAGCTGCTGCCCATACTGCTGTGACCCCTGCTGCTGATTCCCAAGCTGCTGCTGCTGTTGCTGCTGCTGGTGCTGCTGCTGGGGAGGGGCGAGTGCCTGGTGGGCGTGGGTGGAGGAGGAAGGTTCATAGAGGGGAGAGGAACGGACCTCAAGGGGAGTGGGGCGAGGGTTGAGGGCGGACCAGCGAGGAGGGGTGCCGGTGTTGCCACGGGCAAACCACTCATCACTGAGTGCCTTGAAGCACGTCTCAGTGGCATGGGTGGTTTGGCCGCAGCGCTGTCCCTGAGTGGGACCGTAGCGAGGCAGGTACTGACAAGGAGGAAAGGCAGCTGCCGCACCACGACCTGTACCACTGCTACCAGCACCACCGCGACCTGCTGATCCCCCTCGCCCACCCCACCGCCCACCACCACGCCCACCCCCACGCCCACCGCCATGGACAGCCCGGCTGCTGCGCGACTGGGCTGCTGCGGCTGTGGAGGAAGAGTGGCGAAGGATCTCAGCTTCGGTGGTGATAATCCACTGAGCGACTTCAGCAGGGGTGTGGTGCTTGGAGATAAGCTGCATGTACGCAAGCTTGTGAGCGTCGAAGGCAGGTGTCAGGCCCTCAAGAAGGTGGCAGCAAATGACAGTATCTGGGTACACCACATCAAGTGCTGCAAGGCGTCGAGCGAGATCTAGGACGCGGCGAGTGAAGGCAGCTGCGCCGGAGGTTGAATCCATAGAGAGAGTTCCGAATTCTTTGATAAGAGCGTAGAGGGTGGCGACGTCTTGACGGTCGAAAAGGTCGACGAGTAGTCGCCACAGGTGGGAGGAAGAGGTGGGTGAGAGCTCGCGTTTGAGGGAGGAGGGAATGGTGGCGAGAAGAATAGCAAGCGCGCGTCGGTCAGCAACTCGCCAGGCAGTGATTTTGGTGGTGTAGTCGGCAAGTTGTGCAGCGTAGGTGTTGAGGTCCTCCTGGTACTTGTTGTGGAGGGCAGCAGCAGCATCATATGTGCGCTTGTCCTCTTCGTAACGCAGTTGCTGGCGTAGGTGCTCTTGGAGAGCGGTGCGGTATGTGCGAATGGCGGTTTCCGAGCTCTGTGGGTCGTTTATATTCGGCGCGAAGGTGGGAGGGTCACCCGGGGGGATAGGCTCGGCCCCAGGAGTGGCGGGGGCAGGCCCAATAGGAGCGACGGGGGCGACGGGCTGAAGACCGGTGTCTTCCTGGAACACAATTGATCGAAGGTTGTAGCCGCTGACAACGACAGAGGAGAGAAGCACCTCGACCGAGTGAGCGTAAGAGTGCCAATTAGCAGCAGAGTTGTCAGCAAGTAGCTCAAGTGCGTCAACTGTGGCGAGATCGACAGAGGAGTCGGATGATGATGCCATAGGGACGAGGTCGAGGAGAGGGAGGAGGAGGAGGCGGGTAATGTGCTGGTCCCGCTGCCGCTGCTGGTCCCGCTGCCGCTGCTGGTCCCGCTGCTGCTGCCGCTGCTGGTCCCGCTGCTGCTGCCGCTGCTGGTCCCGCTGCTGCTGCCGCTGCTGGTCCCGCTGCTGCTGCCGCTGCTGGTCCCGCTGCTGCTGCCGCTGCTGGTCCCGCTGCTGCTGCCGCTGCTGCTGCCGCTGCTGCTGCCGCTGCTGGTCCCGCTGCTGCTGCCGCTGCTGGTGCTGCTGCTGCTGCCGCTGCTGGTCCCGCTGCTGCTGCCGCTGCTGGTCCCGCTGCTGCTGCCGCTGCTGGTGCTGCTGCTGGGTAGAATAGGAGGAGGACGAACGGGGGAGAGGGGGGGGAGGGAGGGGGGGAGAGGGGGAGGAGGAGGGGAGGGAGGGGGAGGGGGGGGGGGGGACGCGGGATGGGTGGAGGGCGGGAGGACGACGACGACGAACAGGCTTGCGGCGAACGCGTTGGGCGAGGAGGTGCGATGCGGAGGCGCTGGACGAAGAGGCCTGCTGTGGACGGGCGGGACAGGCAGAGCCGCCGCGGATGCACGCGACAAGGGAGCCCGTGCGGTGAGCAGATCGCGACCGTCGACGAGCAGATCGCGTCCGTCGGCGAGCAGATTGCGGCCGTCGGCGAGCAGATGGCGACCGTCGGCCGTTGACGAGGAAATCGCGGCCGTCGCAAAGGTAGGTCGCGGAGAGGGCAAATACGGTCCGCGGGAGGGCAAATACGGTCCGCAGGAGGGCGGATCTGGTCCGCGGGAGGGCGGATCTGGTCCGCAGGAGGGCGGATCTGGTCCGCAGGAGGGCGGATCTGGTCCGCGGGAGGGCGGATCTGGTCCGCAGGAGGGCGGATCTGGTCCGCAGGAGGGCGGATCTGGTCCGCAGGAGGGCGGATCTGGTCCGCGGGAGGGCGGATCTGGTCCGCGGGAGGGCGGATCTGGTCCGCAGGAGGGCGGATCTGGTCCGCAGGAGGGCGGATCTGGTCCGCAGGAGGGCGGATCTGGTCCGCAGGAGGGCGGATCTGGTCCGCGGGAGGGCGGATCTGGTCCGCGGGAGGGCGGATCTGGTCCGCAGGAGGGCGGATCTGGTCCGCGGGAGGGCGGATCTGGTCCGCAGGAGGGCGGATCTGGTCCGCGGGAGGGCGGATCTGGTCCGCAGGAGGGCGGATCTGGTCCGCGGGAGGGCGGATCTGGTCCGCGGGAGGGCGGATCTGGTCCGCAGGAGGGCGGATCTGGTCCGCGGGAGGGAGGATAGCGCCTAGGATGTGAAGCGGGAGGTAGCGCTTAAGGAAACATAGCGAGGGAGGCCATTATTGGCCGGGTAGGAAGAGAGGTACATGTTAGGACGGTCCTAAGGATCTTGGTAGGGCGTGAGCCATAAGCTCTGAATACCATGTGAGAAAGAAGAATTGATACACTGAATAATGAGCCAAAAGGCTCTTTAGTACAAGCAATGAGCAAGAGAGAGATGAGAGGGAAGCTTACCCTATTGGCCAATAAGTTGGCCAATGGGTGAGTTTGCTTGTGGCCCAAGCAACCACAAAATGTGTGTTGGTTGGGATTGGTTGAGGTAAGGACCAATCCCCACCAACCACAAAATGTGGTTGGAGGGTACACTAACCAACCCCCCAATTTATAAGACTGCTACACATCTAAGTCTAGCCTATGCATGTTGTATAAAATATGGAGTGACAACAATGTAGGGGTCACAGTGCACCACATGTAGGGGTCACATTGCACCACATGTAGGGGTCACATTGCACCACATGTAGGGGTCACATTGCACCACATGTAGGGGTCACATTGCACCACATGTAGGGGTCACATTGCACCACATGTAGGGGTCACATTGCACCACATGTAGGGGTCACATTGCACCACATGTAGGGGTCACATTGCACCACATGTAGGGGTCACATTGCACCACATGTAGGGGTCACAATGCACCACATGTAGGGGTCACATTGCACCACATGTAGGGGTCACATTGCACCACATGTAGGGGTCACATTGCACCACATGTAGGGGTCACATTGCACCACATGTAGGGGTCACATTGCACCACATGTAGGGGTCACAATGCACCACATGTAGGGGTCACATTGCACCACATGTAGGGGTCACAGTGCACCACATGTGGGGGTCACATTGCACCTCGGAGCAGGAGTCGCGGGGTTGGCGGTCATGGAAGGCCATGGCGTCGGGGATGAAGCGCAGATCGAGCTGGTTGGCGCTGTTCTCAAACTCCATGCCGTCACACTCCGCATACACGTGCGCTGCCGTGCCCGCGCTGTCACACTCCACCACTGCGTAGTAGTACCTGCACGGGCACACAGAGGGGTAGGGGAGGAGGACATGGAGAGGGGGAAGAGAAGGGTTGGGCACTCAAACCTCCAACTGGGCGCGCAGAGGGTGTTGACAAGAGCGACAAGGAATATGGTATGAGGTGAGCTGAGAAGAAACGATTATGCAGAGCCGGGATAGAAACGTGGGGGATATGGAGTATAGGTGTGTGTGCGATGCAGCGAGGCGGAGCGGAGCACTGACCTGAGCTTGGCCTTCTCGTACTCCCTCAGCCTCTCCGCATCCACGCCCTCGCCCTCCTCACTGCTCTCCCCTTCCTCCCCCTCCTCGCCTCCCTGCACCTGAGCCCCCCCGCCTGCCCTCCCCTTTGCCCCCCTGCCTGGCTGGAAGAGCCCCTGAGGGCCGCGCTCGAGCTCGGCGTGCATCTGGTGGAGGCCGAAGTCAGAGGGGTACACGGTGACGCCCGTGATGCGCCCCCCGGGCGGCAGGAAGGAGCGCAGCACCACCAGGATGTCCACTGCCTGCCGTGGGGGGAAGGGGGGGGAGAGGAGGATGAGCAGGAGGGAAAAGAAAGAAAAGGCGAGCAGTGACGAGAGCGCGGTGGGGCAGGAGGGAGATGGGAGTAAGCGTGCAGTGAGAGGGAGCACGGGAGTAAGCGTGCAGTGAGAGGGAGCACGGGAGTAAGCCTCTCTGCATGCCTCTGCCCTTGCCTTCTGCGGCTCCCCTCCCATGTCCCTGCTTCTGCCGCTCCATGCTGCCTCTCCTATCTCACACGCACGTTGCTTTTCTCACACGCACGTTGCTTTTCTCACACGCACGTTGCTTTTCTCACACGCACGTTGCTTTTCTCACACGCACGTTGCTTTTCTCACACGCACGTTGCTTTTCTCACACGCACGTTGCTTTTCTCACACGCACGTTGCTTTTCTCACACGCACGTTGCTTTTCTCACACGCACGTTGCTTTTCTCACACGCACGTTGCTTTTCTCACACGCACGTTGCTTTTCTCACACGCACGTTGCTTTTCTCACACGCACGTTGCTTTTCTCACACGCACGTTGCTTTTCTCACACGCACGTTGCTTTTCTCACACGCACGTTGCTTTTCTCACACGCACGTTGCTTTTCTCACACGCACGTTGCTTTTCTCACACGCACGTTGCTTTTCTCACACGCACGTTGCTTTTCTCACACGCACGTTGCTTTTCTCACACGCACGTTGCTTATCTCACACGCACGTTGCTTATCTCACACGCACGTTGCTTTTCTCACACGCACGTTGCTTTTCTCACACGCACGTTGCTTTTCTCACATGCACGTTGCTTTTCTCACCCGTTTCTCACACGCACGTTGCTTTTCTCACCCGCACGTTGCTTTTCTCACCCGCACGTTGCTTTTCTCACACGCACGTTGCTTTTCTCACCCGCACGTTGCTTTTCTCACCCGCACGTTGCTTTTCTCACCCGCACGTTGCTTTTCTCACCCGCACGTTGCTTTTCTCACACGCACGTTGCTTTTCTCACACGCACGTTGCTTTTCTCACCCGCACGTTGCTTTTCTCACCCGCACGTTGCTTTTCTCACCCGCACGTTGCTTTTCTCACCCGCACGTTGCTTTTCTCACCCGCACGTTGCTTTTCTCACCCGCACGTTGCTTTTCTCACCCGCACGTTGCTTTTCTCACCCGCACGTTGCTTTTCTCACCCGCACGTTGCTTTTCTCACCCGCACGTTGCTTTTCTCACCCGCACGTTGCTTTTCTCACCCGCACGTTGCTTTTCTCACCCGCACGTTGCTTTTCTCACCCGCACGTTGCTTTTCTCACCCGCACGTTGCTTTTCTCACCCGCATGTTGCTTTTCTCACCTGCACGTTGCTTTTCTCACTCGCACATTGCTTTTCTCACCCGCACCTTGCTTTTCTCACCCGCACGTTGCTTTCTCACTCACCCGCACGTTGTCCCCGCGCGTTATCCCTCTCTCCTGCACGTTAACCCTCTCCTCTTTCCTCTCACCCGCAAGTTATCCATCTCACCCGCACGTTATCCCAGTCCATGTTGACGAGCGCCAGGCGCCTCGTTGCCTCGTCCACCGTCTCCACGCGCTCCTCCACCTGCTGCCCTCCCACCCACAGCGCCACGCAATGCAACAAGGGCGCAGCAAATGCATGTAGGGCGGCAGAGGGGAAAGGGTGGAGCACAGATGAGCAAAGATGAGCGGGGAGTGCGGGAGCAACGCGAGCAGCGTGTGGTGGCCCGACAGTGGAACGGCGCGGGCAGAGGGGTGAACGGGCGGGCAGAGGGGTGAACGGGCAGAGGGGTGAACGGGCAGAGGGGTGAACGGGCAGAGGGGTGAACGGGCAGAGGGGTGAACGGGCAGAGGGGTGAACGGGCAGAGGGGTGAACGGGCAGAGGGGTGAACGGGCAGAGGGGTGAAGAGGGGAAAAAGGTGAGCAGAGAGGGGTGGGAGTAAGGCTAGCACCTGTGGGGTGGACTCCTCTTCATCGCTTTCACTGTCCGAGCCTGATGATGATGAAGAGGATGAAGAGGAGGAGGACGAGGAGTCATCTGAGCCCGCCCTCTCCTCTTCTTCCCCACTCTCATGCACCTCACCCTCCTCTTCCTCCTCCTCTTCCTCCTCCTCCTCCTCCTCCTCTTCCTCCTCCTCTTCCTCCTCTCCTCCCTCCTCCTCCTCCTCCTCCTCCTCCTCCTCCTCCTCCTCCTCCTCTTGCACCCTTGTCTCCTCCTTTCTCCCTCTACTTCCCTCATTCTCCTCCCCCTTTTCCTCCTCCCCCCCTTCTCTTCCGTCCCCAGCCTCCCCCGCCTCCCCCGCCGCCACCTCATCCACGCGGTAGTACCGCTTCAGGTCGGCCCCTCGCTGCGCCTCACGCCGCCGCCCGCGCTTGTCCACTGTGCCCGCCTCGCTGAACTGCGCGTCGCGGAACATGCCGGCGAACCGCGCGTCCACCGCCACGCGCGTCTCGCGCACCGCCACGCGCTGGGGGGGCAACGCACGGGTGGCGAGGAGTCCAGGGGTTACAAGTTGATAATTCAACTCCGGCGTTGAGGGTTCAGGGGTTAAGGGTTTGGGAGTGCAAGGGTGTACTAGCTCTGGACGGGGTCGGGGATGGGGGAAAGAATCGGAGCGGCAAATGCGTCGCGGGTGTGCGGGACGAGGAGACGGGCAGATAGAGCGGGCGTGGCGACCCGCGGACGAATGGGGCGGACAGAGGGCGCAGGGGACTCGGACGAGGGGCGGACTGGGGACAGCTGATGGGGACACGGGAACGCGGGGAGAGGCGGAATGGCTTCGCACGACAGTGTGCAGGGTGGGGGGGAGGGGGGGAGGGGGAAGGTGGGTGGGTGGAAGGGACAAGCAGGAAGGGTGGGGGAATGCAAGGGGAGAGGCATGAGATAAAGGGCATGGCAGGCAGGTGAGGCGCGTGGCGTGTTGGAGGGACTGGGCTGCAACAAAGGTGGCGCGCAGGGGTCAGCAGCGCGACCTTCAACCATCGCCTCTCCACGCCCACCGCAAAACGCGCGTCGAGCAGCCACAGCGGTTGCTGTCGAAGCTCACCGCGAAGCGCGGGTCCGAGTGGAGCGCGGCGAACCGCGAGTCAGAGATGACGGTGGGCGGCATCTGCGGCCCGCTGGGATCGCCCCGCCCGCCACCAGCACGAGGCGCCTTCGCTCCCCGTTTCACCGCCTTCATTGCTCCGTCGCGCTGCACTGCCACGCGAGGAAAATGGCGCAGCGCGCTAAACGTCTAATCCGAACTCGAACGAAAATCCAATTGAGCAATAAGTGAGAAAGCCTGCTGACACTGCAAACTAACGACAAGGGGTTCTGGATTTGGGGTTTAGAGACTATGATGTGGCGTGGGAAATTGTTAGGGAATGCAAGAATGGTCGAGTGCTACTGTAATAGTTTCATCGTGGCGTGGCGATCAACACCAACCCCTAACGAACCTGTAGAAACCCTAGGGAACTCAGGGGACTACGTCCCCTGCGCGCGGCTCCTAGTGCGTAGGCAGCTGCGCGTGTGTGTGCAGCTACTGCTGCGTACGTCTGCTCGTGAGGGCAACGTGCGTGGGGCTGCGCGCGCGCGAGTGGCAGGGCAGGGCGCAGCAAGGGACGGGGCGGAGCGCGGGTAGGGTGCGCAGCGGCGCGCGGCGGCGGTTTCAGTGCTCGAGACGGCGGCTGATGTGCGCGCTGCACATGCAGTGCGTGCGCGCGGGCTGTACGTGCGCGCGAGGCTGCTGCTGCTCGCGCGCGTGCTGTTGTACGCGCGCGCGCGGGGCTCTGCTGCGCGTTTGCGCTGCTGTGCACGTGTGCGCGGGTCCTACAGCTAGGATAGCGCGGGCAGCGTGGGCGATTGAGGGCGACACGGGGCGACACGAGACTACGGCCTAGGAAACTACCTAGCTGATATCATCTTAGAATATTGGAAACAAGGTGAGAAGGCACAAGGACAGCTTTGGAGAGGAAACGTATACCATATAGCATGTACCTCACTAAGGGCTTGTGACCATTTTGATTTTTGGCTTTTTTACGGACTGTCCGTATATTTCGAAACGAACGGTCCTAATATCGAGAACATGTTACTGTTAAACTGTATTATGCTTGTAGGCTGTAGTGGGGTAGCCAATATGGGGTACAACCCCAACTAGGGTTTCATATTTGTACCCAAACTTCTGTTAGTTCATCATTCTTGCCTAGTTCTTCTGACATGGTATTCAGAGCAGGAGGTCCCTAGGACCTACCGACCGTTTTTTTTTAAGGGCCCACCACCGCTCGCTGCGGTTACCACGCTACCCCGTGCCCTAGCCTCGTAGCGCCCTCGTGCGCCCTCGTTAGCGCCCTCGCGCGCCCCTCGTTAGCGCCCTCGCGCGCACCCTCGTTAGCGCCCTCGCGCGCCCCTTCGTTAGCGCCCTCGCGCGCCCCTTGCTAGCGCCCTCGCGCGCCCCTTCACTAGCGCCCTCGCGCGCCCCTCGCCGAGCCGCCCGCTCGCAGCCCGCTCGCCCGCTCGCTGCCCGCTTCGCGGCCCGCTCGCTACGCAGCCCGCCCGCCCGCTCGCTGCCCGCTTCGCGGCCCGCCCGCTTCGCAGCCCGCTCGCTCGCTGCCCGCTTCGCGGCCCGCCCGCTTCGCAGCCCGCTCGCTCGCTGCCCGCTTCGCGGCCCGCCCGCTTCGCAGCCCGCCCGCCCGCTCGCTGCCCGCTTCGCGGCCCGCCCGCTTCGCAGCCCGCTCGCCCCGCTGCCCGCTTCGCGGCCCGCCCACTTCGCAGCCCGCCCGCCCGCTAGCTGCCCACTTCGCGGCCCGCCCGCATCGCAGCCCGCTCGTCCTGCTGCCCGCTTCGCAGCCCGCCCGCCCGCCCGCTGCCCGCTTCGCGGCCCGCCCGCCACGCAGCGTCGCCCGCCCGCCGTGCTGCCCGCTTGCAGCGCCGCCTGCCCGCCGCGCTGCCCGCTTCCCGGCCCATCTGCCGTGCTGCTCGCTAGCAGCGTCGCCCTCCCGTCGCGCTGACCGCTTGCAGCGCCGCCTGCCCGTAGCGCCAGCCTCGCCCGCTGCTCTCTATCCGTGCACAGTCGCCTTCCCCTGCTGCGGCAGCTTGCGTTACTCTGTCACACTGTCGCTATGGCTTCCATCCGCGTGCTGTCGTTCGATGCTGAGGGCCGCCCTGTGCGGTTCACCGCTTGGCTAGATGACCTGCAGCTGTTCCTCCTGAGCGATAGCAAGGAGCATGTGTCGCTCTATGATTACGCGTCTGGTGCTGCGCCTGCCCCTCCTGCCACAGCTGAGCTTAGTGTTCGTTCCCACTGGCAGACTCGTGACGCAGCTGCTCGCCTAGCCATTCGCAGTCACCTGCCGTTAGCTGAGCTAGAGCATTTTGGCGACTGCAAATCCGCTAAGGCCCTGTATGACGCTGTCGTCGCTCGCTACTCCTCGCCTGCCACAGCCGAGCTTAGCCGCCTCATGCTGCCGTACCTGTTCCCCGATCTGTCCACCTTTACTACAGTCGCCGATCTTATCACCCACCTTCGCACTAGTGATGCTCGCCTGCGTGCCGCCCTTCCCACCGAGTTCTGCGCTAAGAACCCCCCTCCACTGTACTGGACACTCCACTTCATAGTCACCCGTCTCCCTGACACCCTCCGCTCAGTTCGAGACCACTTCCTTGCTCGCTGTCCCACTGAGCTCACAGTCGCCCTCCTAGAGGAGCACCTGCTCGCGGCCGAAAAGAGCATTGTAGCTGTCGGTGCTGCTCGTGGCGCTCCTCGCACCCCCATCTTTGAGGGGTGTTCTCCCTCTCCCCTCGCTCCCTCCTACGCTGCTGCTGCTGCTGCTGTTGACTTCCTTGGTGCTGAGTCTGTTGGCGCTGCTTCTACTCCTGGTGGGAGGCGCCGCACCGGCAAGGGCAAGGGGGGCAAAAGTGGTGGTGGTGGCACTGGGGGGGGAGGAGGTGGGGGAGGTGGGGGGGGAGGCGGTGCTGGAGGGAGCGGTGGCGGGAGCGCTGGTGGGAGTGGGGTCGGTGGTGGAGACGGGGGCGGCGGAGGAAGCAGTGGCAGTAGTGGCGGCGGCGGCGGTGGCGGCGGTGGCGGTGGTGGCGGTGGTGGCGGTGCCGGTCGGAGCGGTGGTAGTGGTGGCGGCGGAGGTCGGAGTGGAGGCACTGGCTCGGGCCAGAGCTCCCAGCAGCAGCAGCGTCCCCAGACGACCCAGCAGCTTCGTGAGTGGCTTGCTCAGCGTGGGACGTCGGGGGCAAGTGAGTCTGCTGCCCTGGGTACTAGTGAGTCTGCTCTCTCTGGTATGGTGCCCCCTGTACTTGCTCCCCCCAGTGCTGTCCCGGCTGGTTTCGAGTCTGCTCTCTCAGGTACAGCACCCACAGAGACACCTCTCTCAGGTACCGCACCGGCTGAGGCCTGTCACACCTTCACCCTTGACTCAGGTGCTTCCCGTTGCTTCTTCCGTGACAGTACTGAGCTCACACCGCTTCCTGCACCGGTCCCAGTCTCCTTGGCTGACCCCTCTGGGGGCCCAGTCCTTGCCCAGTCCACCACTGTCCTCCCTTGTCCGGCGGTTCCGTCTGGCTCGTTGTCGGGTTTCCACCTCCCCTCGTTCTCGACGAACCTGGTGAGCAACGCTGTCCTCCAGGATCAGTGGGTTGACACCTTTACCCCTGGCGGACAGCGTGTGGCGATCTGCACGTGCTCCAGGACCGGCCGTCACCTGGCTACGTTCACCCGTCGGCCGGGGTCGAGTCTCTACACACTGACCACTGCGTCTCCCCAGGTAGCTGCTGTCGGTCAGGTGTCTGCGTCAGGTCTGGTGGCCCACGCCTGTGAGTGTCGTTCCCTGTCGCACCAGACTCTTCTCTGGCACCACCGCCTGGGTCACCCCTCCTTGCCACGCCTTCGTGGCATGCACCGTCGCCTCCTTGTGTCTGGTCTTCCCAGGTCCCTCCCTCCCCTCCCTGCCTCGCCTGCGCCGCCTTGCCTTCCTTGCGTCGAGGGGCGGCAGCGCGCCGCCCCTCACTCCTCCTCGTTCCCCCCGACAGAGGCTCCTCTGGAGACCCTCCACCTGGACGTGTGGGGCCCAGCCCGCGTTCGTGGTCAGGGCGGTGAGCGGTACTTTTTGCTGGTTGTCGACGACTACTCGCGTTACACCACGGTCTTCCCCTTGCGCACCAAGGGTGAGGTCCCTGCTGTTCTGATCCCTTGGATCCGCACGGTTCGTCTCCAGCTCCGCCGCCGTTTCCGGACGGATCTTCCTGTCCTGCGTCTGCACTCTGACAGAGGTGGTGAGTTTTCCTCCGACCTCTTGAGGACCTTCTGTCAGGCGGAGGGCATCGAGCAGACCTTCACGCTTCCGGACTCCCCACAGCAGAATGGGGTTGCTGAGCGCCGCATTGGCCTGGTCATGGAGGTCGCTCGTACCTCCTTGGTCCACGCGGCGGCTCCCCATTTTCTGTGGCCGTTTGCTGTCCGGTACGCCGCGCATCAGCTCAACCTCTGGCCCCGTGTCTCCTTGCCGGAGACCTCGCCCACACTGCGTTGGACGGGGGAGGTTGGCGATGCGTCGCGCTTCCGGGTGTGGGGTGCTCGTGCCCTTGTCCGCGATACGTCTGCGGACAAGCTCTCCTCCCGCACGCTTCCCTGTGTCTTCCTTGGCTTTGTCCCTGACGCGCCTGGCTGGCAGTTTTACCACCCCACCTCGCGCCGGGTCTTCGCCTCTCAGGATGTCACCTTTGACGAGTCGGTCCCTTTTTACCGTCTCTTCCCCTACCGCACTGCCCCCCTCCCTCCCCCGCCGCTTTTCCTTGCTCCTGGTCCCCCTCCGGTAGACCCCCTTCCCCCTCAGGGTCCTGCTCCTTCAGGTGTCTCTCAGGTAGACCCTCCTCCCGTCGCTGAGCCTGTCGAGGTCACAGGTGACTCAGGTGCTGCTGCGGGTGGTGCTGCTGGGAGTGCTGAGCCTGGGGGTGCTGAGCCTGGGGGTGCTGGGCCTGGGGGTGCTGGGGCGGCAGGTGCTGGGACTGAGGGTGCTGGAGCTGAGGGTACGGTGCCTGAGAGTACGGAGCCTGGGGGTGCTGAGCCTGGGGGTGCTGAGCCTGCGGGTGCGGGGCCTGGGAGTGCTGGGACTACGGGTGCTG